GATCATTTCAATAGTCCTATCTTCAGAAACATTCTACCTTTCTATCTTTCCTGGTTTGTCTCTGATTCAATCTTCTTTTCTATATCGTTATAGCCTCCTATACGGTTATTAGAAAAATCCCAAAGAATTTCATAACGCCCTTCCACTTCTCGCGCGTCATTGATTGCAAGTGGCATTGAATGGACCTCCTCCACTTGAAAGATATCGGGAGTTCCACATCAGTAACCATGCATATTGCAAGGAAACCTACTTATGCAAATAATTAATAGCAGGTAATGTGAATTTGATAGATTATTTCTACCTTAAAAATTACTGAACTTTGGCGCAAATAATTTTGGGACACCCTGTATATACCTCTATAAGCCTTAAGCTTGACTCTCATTGAGAATATCAATACAAATTACGTCGTGTACACCATCCACAGACTCCTTGAAAACGAGGGCCATTGAAAGCCTTGAGTGAGCTAATATCGTTACTCCTCCGCCAGATTTCTTAGGCCGATCACATTTGTGAACATCTTAGTCTGAACTTATACCACCAAGAGTTGGAGAAACCATATGACCAGGTTTAAGCCAGGTCTCACAAAAGGCATAGATAACATACTTTTCCGACAACACTGATTCCACGTAAACCGAGTTTTTTGAGATTGATCTTACATTAGAATAAAATAACCTGAACCTAATGAAACTAATCTGAGGAAAAAAACTCAGTTTTCCTGAGCAAAAGAAGAGGAGCACGAGGTACCAGGAGCCGCCACGTTATCCTTCACGGAGTGGGAAACACCCAATGTAGGAGAACGGTGCCCTCCTTCATTTTCACTTTGACGTAGCGCTCGCTTTCGCGCACGCTCCTTTTTAGTGAGGGATTCCCTCGAGAAGATCCCTCGCGGAAGAAAATAGCGAAGGCGAGACGTCTTCTCAAATCATACGTCGAGAAAAATGTGAAGGAAGTATAACTTTTAACAGCCTACTCCCGTCTTGTGATGGTTTCCCAATCCTATATACAGAGATAGGGTTCACTCCTAGGTAATCAAAAACACTACACACAGGGTGAAAATCCATTGCCAACCTATTTCTCGGGAGGTTCCAGGCTCAGAAATCTTGTTGACTACAATACTACGTTGTCTCTCAATTTCATGGAATGGTAACATGTACCATTGTAGAAACTTCCACTACTCTAATAGCTTACTACGGAAAGTTGAAGAGTTCCAGTTGTGGTAATACGAGCGCATCGACAAACTTTACAACCAAATTTTCCTGTCCTTGCATTGCTGGAGGTGATTCATGCGATGCAGCTGGCGAGAGGATGCAGATGCCAAGAATGACGTGATCTACACTCGTCCGGCAACGTTCTGCTTATGAGGCTGTATTCTATCAGATCACGTCCACGTGTGTATTATTTTTCTCCTTCGGCGACAATGGTCCGAAAGTCATCGTTTTTAGAGTATGATCAAGAAATGTCCTGTCCTGTTGTTCTCCTCTGCTTCACAATTTGCTGATAGGTTCGAAGTCGATCGCTCCACGTTATGGTGATTTGGAGGAAACTCAGGTGTACGAACTGAAACGAATTCCCGTTTTTTTACGATGTGTACGTAAACATCACGCTTCTGAGTAATTAACTCATAGAGGATATCTGTACCATCCCAATTTTCTTGCACCATTTTTCACTGACCTATCCTCTTGACTGTAAGTATCCTCAATGCCAACGAGCTTAGGAAGAAAATCAGTCCAAAGGAAGAATATAGGTGACGGGATACTAGATAGCTGACGCCTCGAAAACAGAAAAACTGCCTACTCCTTTTGTCAATTCAAATATTCACTTCCGTACAACTTGAAAACAAATTTCCTGCAGCGCATCACTGTGGATCTCTTCACGGGTTACTACAATTGATGGAATGGCATAGTAGGTGGCTATTCATAGGCAAAAATTCTGACCCGATTTGTTATTTCTACGTAACCTATCTCAGCTGGCTCGAATGATATTTCTCATCAGCCCTTTTTGAAAACTTCTTTCGCATTTGAAAACTTCTTTCGCATAGTTGAACGATATCATTTTTATTAGTTTAACGATCAGTTTTACGATCTCAGAGACTGTCGACGTCGACAAGACCGGCAGTTGCCCCTTCTTCTATATCACACCCGTTAATCCCACGAGCCATGCGGAAGTATCCTGTAAAAAGTTCATGAGCACTACTAGATGAATTTTTGCTCAAGAGAGCGGATTAATGTATCAATGTAGTGTCTATCAAAGCATAATATGATCCGTCAGTGAGCATTGCGCTGTTCCGAGTAACGTCCCTCCTGCGCGTGCGTGAAAACCAGAACACCCTACCCCTTCACGCGCAGTATAGTCCACTGCGGTCTGACGTTATAGCACCACTCAGTGTCAGTAGAGTGAATGACTTGCAAAAGACTAGTCCATGTTATCTTCTCTTATTCTCACTTGACTTGACTGCCATGGTCCAAGCGCCAATCGTATACCCTACTAGCAACTGCTACACTGTCAGAAATCATGGGTGTGCAAACTTAGTTACGAATGAGATCATTTCGCGTCGAGGTGCGAAGTGACCTCCTCTTGATCGTAACTAACCTCATCTTACTCATGAGAGTGATGACAAATAATGAGAATGATGAGAAAATAAAACTTTAAGGGAATTACTTTTTCAACGTAAACTTTTCATGGTCTTTGGTTTAAGGAGTTTTATTACCATATAGAATAGAGAAATCCAATGGCCATAAAAAAATGTTGAAATTTGTAAGAGATGAGAATAAGATGTAAAAAACATTCTTTAGATTTTTTTCTGATTTTTCACTCATCTGTGATATCGAACAACATTTACAGAAGCGACGTAATTTTTTCATATTGGGGCTCGTCTTTGAAAGGTCATTGAGCGCCCGTCGGCTGATCAGTTAGGCCATTTCACCCTTCTCACAGAATATTACAGTACTTTAGGCCAAATTCAGCACATTGAAGAGAGGTCATCAGCTGCTATTTAACGTGGGTTTTAATTAATTTATAGGCAACTGTTGATTATAGATAAGAAGCCTTGCCTTGCCAAGTTAATGCCGATTTTGATCACCTTTGGTTTATCAAGTGTTTTGACAAAGATCGTCGGCATATCCTCATAGAGTCATATATTTTCTGGAAGTGTAAGTCTTGATCTATGTCCTTCTCAGGTTATGTTGATATTTTTCAAAGTCCCTTGTATAGGGCTTGAGTGAAAATGCAAGTCAATCGCGTGCATTTTCGCCTACAAATGCTTTTCTTCTATCGCAAAGGAAAGAATGCAGCTCAAACCGCGAGAAAGATCTGTGGCGTTCACGGAGAGGATGCTCTACATGAGCGAAGTTCGTAAGTGGTTTGCGAGATTTAGGCGGGGTGAATTCAACCTCGAAGATCTGCATTTGGGCGTTACCCGTTCCCAACATAGGATTCTCTAACTCCGCGTCCTGCGATGAAGGGCTGGCAGGACGCGATCAAAGAGGACATTGCTGAAGTCGAGGTGCTTGGAGAAGATACTGATCGTGAGGAGAGAAGGAAATGGAGATGACCAACCAGAACAGTGGACGAAAACCTACCACGGTGCGAGATCAGCTAGGGTAAAAAACAGTGAAATCATCGAAATTAGATGCGCCTTTCATCAGTTTTGAAGGAACTCGGTCGAAATAAATCAGCAATCAGATCATTACTGTCTAAATCATCCAAAGAATTGTATGGTCCGTGTGTCCATACAATGTCTGAAGACCAGATTATACGATATCGAGTTTTCTGACTACCTCTTGGGAGTGTGAAGCCTAGAAGCTCCCCCACTGATAGCTGCACACATCAAATTCTAACGGCTTATTCTAACGAAGAGGTTATCGCTGGTCCTGGTCACGACCATGACCGGTCAGACACTTGCTTTGGACCTGGTGCAATATAAAGCCAATCCAAAGGTGGCAGCGTAAAATGCGGAAACGGCAGAACCCCGGGAATCCGAACCACTAGCCCAACTAGCCGTCCCAATTCGAAGTCTATTGCTATCCACCACACCATCCGTGGTCAACCGTGGAGAGCATATGTGACACTTCTCCGCACTTTTCAACATGTGGCTCCCTTTTTTTGGCTACTGTTCACGTTATTTTCAATACGCAGTACACTGGCGCCTTTTAGTGAGCGGACAGTCGACGCCATTAATGAAACAATCGACGCTTAGTGAGTTAAAACGGCAATTTCTGACAAAAACATTTTCACTCCTTTTTTTGGCATTCAGACATTGAGGCACTGAGTATGAGTAACCTAGGAAGATCAAGGTATTGTGAGGGGGACCTCAATTCTTATCGTTTCTCTTGGATCATTTGCCTTCAGTCGCAGAACGCACTTCTGCTTCTACTACTGGCAACTTTCGCGATTTCTTGCAAATTTTTTTTAATAATTTGTTCTCTCAGTTATCAATTTCTGTCTCAACTTTCACCTTCGAACTTAATTATTCGCCTTCAGATCCGGAAAGTTTTGTGCTCACCATATCGCTTGTCCAACCTGTACTGTTTCTTAGACCAGCTTGGCAGGTCCTCTTGCATGGTGGGGTAGGTGCAGTTCCATTACATTCTCCATAGTAGGTATCGTTTCCATGATGTCCACATGGATGAAACTGTTAGGGACGGCAGCAATCCTATTGGCAAAGCTCACATCAATACCACTACCATCAATCGCATGGAGTATCACAACTTACTATGATATTTTCCTCCTGAAACAGCTCCGTCTTCTATGAAAAAATGCCAAGCATCGAGAGTCCAGCCTCCCAGACATCTGAATCGGCGAATAGTACGCATAGGGGAAATAGGTCCCAAATTTTCATTTTATTAGGCTCTTAGAAAATAGGAGCAACTCTAAAATCGTACCCGAGACCACAGCAGCATGACAAAATGTCAGTGGCAGAGATATAAACCTAGAATTTGCGCTATGAAATCATGAATGGCTTTATTACTATAGATCAATATGCACCTGGTTTTCTGCTTTGGTCGCAATGCAGATACGATCCGAAATTGCAGCTGCCGTCGAGACAGCCCAGCATGAACCTGGAAACTTTATGTTACTCTGAGCACTTCGAAGCACTGGCAAAAACTGTTTACCGCAGTCCGCTTGGTCTCGGATGGTAAATAGCGAAGAGCAGTTGGGCCAAATAGCTCGGAGATCGTAACTGTAAGTGCATGCAATCAACTACTGTACTGGTAGGTGTTATCAAGAAGATGTATTTTTGCTCTGTTTCTCAATATTCTTCTGTATCAGACGTACACTGTCTAATAGCTTGAGTGATAGATATTCATATACAACCCTGTTCCGCGAAATTTTTTGCCAATTTCGTCATTGAACTGACGGCTATCCTCACTGAGGGTCCTCATATATTAAAGATCCTGAGGATCGTATCAGACTATCAGATGCGACCCCACGTTGCTCATAGAGGAATGGATCGCAGTCTAATTTTGGGTTCATATTCGGAGAGGTGCATCATGGAGTGGGCTTTCAGTTTCGGTGTGTTGATTTGAACTATGCCTTGTGTTTCTTCGCAGTCCCACTCCCTTGGTGAAGTGCGTTTCGTATCTTGTACATATACTCGGCTAGAAGCTTGCATTCGAATGAGTGGGGGATACTTTGCGGCGACTTTATGTCACCACTATCGAATATGCCTGTTGTCCTCTCTGGGATAGCCCAGCAAGCTACACAGAGTCTACCCAGCTTGCATGCCAGAGCTTTGCAAGCGTGTTGTGGGCACCGGTAATCCGATAATATAAATATTAAAAANATCTACCACCTACTTGATTTCTCCACAGTTGGTGGGTTTTTCCTTTTCAGAGCAGGCTTATGGGGTTCAGCAAGTATGGCAGTCATATGTGTTGAGGTCAGATGAATATGTGGGGGAGGAGCGGGGTAGTCAGGTTATGCCAAGTCTCTCTAGCTAGTCCACCGACGTTCTCACGTTAGGTGGTCGAGCATTATCCACCACCATCGAAAATTCCCTTGAAACAGGGGTTAAACGAGGGTATGAAAACCATTTCTCTCAATTGTCAACAGAATACTCTTACGTATAACGCAGTACAGTCTGGTAGGATTTCAAAGAAAAACACCCGATAGAGCGGAGGAAGAATGAGTCCATGTCTTTCTTGGCGTGAGAGCCTCCTTTTATAGCAGGCTGTAGCCTTACGCCTCCCCCCTGGTAGGCCTTGCGATTACCTGTGTGGGATTTTCGTAAGACCCCTACTTTTAATTCTGAGCAATAATGAAGTCGGTTGATGTCGTCGTTGGCTTATAGTTGAGCAGCTTCTAGCACACACACGCACTCGACGCTCCTATTCAGTCAGGGATGCGCGATATTTGCAAAGGGTCCTGCTTTGAAAGCGACCCCAGCGTAGAACGTGGTGGATGCTGGATTGGGGAGTAGAGATGGTCTTCTCCATTTCCTGAGACATTGAAGAGGATTGCTCTGACAAGTTGCCAGAGCAGTGTCGGTATCCAAGGGCAGTGAAAGTTCTCTTCGACAAACTTCGTCGAGGCAAATCTCTTCTTATAGGACGCGATCGTGTCATTTATGGTTGATGACAACAGAGAGTCACTCCTGCCAATCACTGACCATATCTCATTCCAAGCCTAAAGCGATCAGTTTCGTAATGAGAAGCGTTAAGTTCCGGTAGACTCATCAATGGCACATCGTTCGGTCGACGCTTACTTACTTTCAACGTCAAATACCGATCAGTCGCGGTATTGATCTATCAACAATGTCCTTTCCCCTGTTGTCGAATCTATACTCCCTCTTTAGCGCGTTCGCGAGCAACATGCTTCCAAAGTATAGAGGCAAAATTTTCTCAAAACTTTTCGAACACCCTAATACCATCGCATCGCCGTTTTCGATTCTCTTTTTCAATGCATGGAAAGAGAGCTGCGAAGTCATGAAACGAGGCCTCGAAACCATCGTCAAAAAGCCTGCTAAGATTTCGTCTTTGACAACATCGACAAAGGGTGCAACCACCTCATCGTACATCGTCGACAGTGCAACTGAGTGAGAAGAGTCCAAAAGTCACTGACTATGAGAGACGCCACCTACCAGAAACTCCAGGTTATATTACATCAGCATAAATCATGTTAGCTGCAGGAAGTGTTGGTCAACGTCGGGTTTACGAAACTGTTCAGAAAACGATAAAGGAATATCTCAAATAGAATAATGTAGCAGTAATGGTCGAAGTTACTGAGAATGGAGAGAGTATGCGCATTGCCGTTCGATGCTAGACTGATTGCATGATCAAGGTGATTTCGATTTGGTTCTCACGGGACAGTCACTGCTTACGGACGACAGTAGCAATGGTCGTGTACGACTTCGACTCTGATCCCTTCGACAAGCACGTTTATGTGCCAACCTATAATCTTATGCGAAATGATTATGTTGTTCACCAAATTTCCCATCCGATGACCATATGGCTTCACGTCGACGAAGAGCGTCCAATCTTGACAGGATCAGACGGAAACAGCCATAATGTTCTGGTTCGGTCTTACCGGGACCGGGAGCCGCACGAAAGGCCTGATTGCATCAACTGTAATGATGTGATATAATGTGATAACACACAGCGGCCATGAGGTTGATGAAGGTGCATAGAACTGTAGCCCTATGTGGTTTGCCTACTGAGGAACTCAAGAGCTGGACAATACGATGCTAAAGCGTGAAGAATTGGCTTCGTATTAACCGGTTTCTGCGCCCTGCGTTGTGCCAAATGACTACGATTCCCTTATGCTCCGGGACTGCAGCTGTTCGTGTACCTGTGCTGTAGTTTCTCATCTTTCATCTATGACGAAAATGAGTATAATCAATGAGTAAGAAAGAGTTCAGAAGTTGCACTCGAGGATGACAATGCAGCCTGAAGACTGGCCTTTCTTTATACATTGACACAATTTTGAAAGAGATTTAATAAAACACTGCAAGAGTACTAAATATCGGCCGCTCCTAGGTGTCACCCAAAATGGGGAAAGAGGTAGAGGTCTGAAATTTCCACGTAAAATCCTGTCCTACCTCTCAGGAATTCCCTTTCCAGTGTCGTTGTCCTCCTTCGCAAAAGAGTTTATATTGCGGCTTGCAAACTTTTTGTCCATTATTTTGAGCTCGAAACCAGGCGTTGGATCGGAGTTGACCTGTGAACGAACTAAATTCTCTTTTTGTATTTTCAGTGATTCATTGAATTACCTCGGAAAGGTCCTGGTTCTTTCTTAGGTATTCGACAAGCGGTTCACCGCTCAGCCTTTGTGCCTCTAGTGGAATTTCTCCAGCAGCTGTAAAAAGCGAATCATTGAATAAGTCTATTCAGGATTGATTCCGAGTCGAAAAAGGGCGACCAACCATGTACACTTGCTCCGGATGCTTGGCATAGATATATGTAGAGTGCAAGCACAATGCACCTCTGGAAAGAATTTTCTCAACTTGCTGTTATATAATTGTCGAATTGCTAACTCTTAATTGGTGATGCAAGTACCTCCTCCAGTGAAGGAGCGCAAATCAGAAGGACAGATAAATAACCTACCATTTTCCTAAGCGATAGTAGGTGCGTCGGCATCAGCCTGTATTCACTTTATAAACTAACTGTCATTGAACATCCACTTTGGTTCGTGATAAGAAGTGCGAGAAGATGTTGTAGATAACGTAGTTGAAAAGCTGAAAAAGTGATGCCCAGCGATTTCCGACTTGAAATTATTTCTTTCGTTTTTCGTTTCAAGTCGTTATCGGGAGGCAACGGTAGACACGTGAAGTCAGAAGTCTAATCAACGTACATATCTGAGGCCTCACTTTTGGGAAGCCTCCGTGATGACTTAGTTGGGCACTAAATTGATGATGCTGCAGTAGTTCTTGCGAGAGTATAAGAGACGAACGAATTCCGCTTTTCTCTTTCTCTGAATGACCGATTCTGTCTCAATTTGGACCTTCAATAGACCTTATTTGCGTAATTAATGAAGGTAAAGCTGTAGTTCAGAATAGGTCCCAGCAATTTTTATGGTTGGACTTTAAGGACCACTGATGCTTATGAGCTGAAGTAGAGTTTCTGAACAAGAATTCAAGACGTAGTTAATGAAGTTGATTGTTGTACGAAAAGATGTCTTTGTTCCTCTCTTCCACACGATAGTTAGAAGGCGTGAAATGACTCAGGCATTTAGATTACGGATAAACCCTTAGAGATTAGTTCTTTTTCGTGATCGGTGACACACTATATATTTTTTGTGTTACTTTTTCTTCCTTTTGCTATTCTTGAAAAACTGTGTTGGTGTGAGAAATTTCTTATGCACTATTATCAGTGAGCTAAGCGGTTTTAATAATGGCTTTTGTCGCCATTTCACCAGTTTAAAGCGGACGGATGTGCTGTTCCAACCATATGAACCTTTCGGTTTGATGACATATGGAATTGGAAGGGGTAATTCTTCATCCCACAAGGCTCCATTTTTTAGGTAATTCTTCTGGAGGTATGGCACAGATGTGCCCCGACCGCTACTCATCGGTATTGCAAACCTCGTCTTTCTAAAAGCAGTGAATAATTGCATTACATTGATTGCATTGGTATCATGAGGAGGACGTGGAGTTCTTCAATCTCAACCCTAGATGAACCCTCGCATTCGACTTCTACTCAATTGCAGTTAAANTTAAATGCATACATGACCGATACACTTGCTGAAGCCAAACCTACAAATCAGTCATTTTTTATCTTTTCATATGAGTTTGGTAACAGGCAGTGGAAATCAGCGGGATGGAAGATTCGGTCGTATTGGGCTATTAATTGGTTTCGGTCCGGACCACTCCTGCAATACTGCGTCCCATGGCGTTGAATGTACCACTTCCGCGTTTTATCCGCTCACCCGCCCGTCTATGTTATATGTTTTTTTTAATCATCTGAAGATCGTAAAGGCATAGATTCTATAGAGGTCTTTCACGGGTGTTCATCCTTTCCTATTATAGTGAGAAATATAAATTCTCAGTTCCCCCACGGTCCTTTGACTAATTGGACCGATAGAAGGCTTACATTGTCATATGGATTGCATCGAATTTCGTTCTCCATTCTTTTAACAGCAGGGTGGTCAGGCTGCAAATCATGGGGTTGTCCTCAAGAGCTTTTTTGTCTGTTGCCGTACCTCTCCAACCCGTAATTTTTGGTGTCAACGGTTTCATATAAATTTGGAATATCGCACACGTGGATATTCGTGCAAGAGCACCATTCTTTGTAGGATGTACGCCAATCGCCGTTAACCATCCAAGCTCCAAAAGACCGTCGACAAGAGGAACTTTGGTGTGGGCGAGAGATGTGACAGCTGTTTGTTAAAAAAAAATGAATCCATGTTTGGCCCCGTTCAGCGTTCCGCGAGCACGTGCGGTTTAGGCCTCTTTTCTGTGGTGCTGTCGGAGAAAGAATTGTGGCATGTCTGAGTTTATCTTAATGATTAGCACTTTTCTGGGCAAGATTCTCGATTCATTCTATAACTCCCTTTATGATAAGCGTTGCAAGGACATAATCCTGGCACAGGAACTCCTCTAAACCATGAACTTATTAGTAGCTTTTTCGCAACGTCATAAGGATGAATAATGTGTTATATCACCTGAATCATTTGTTCTCCCGCTGAACATCGACTTCCTCGAGCAGAAACAAGTAATGTCTCTATTCGTCCCTGTTGCCAACCAGAGTACATAGTCCAGTGGATCGTTCTTGCTGTAGCAACACGAGGCATAGCCTTCAGAACTTCAGTAAAGAAGTCCGACCATCCTGCTGAGGATATCCTAATATGTTTGACGTCAAGAGGGTTCCAGCCAGTAAGCAACCTCGTCTGACAGTCATTCCAATATCGCATGGCCTGAGTCTGCCCTGCAGTGCTTTGGTGTAGTGCCTCTGTTCTTCGCCCTATAACGGATATCGGCACTACGGCTCATGAGAAAGTTCTGTTCATCGTCCTTTTCAAAGCGCATTGAAGAAGTTGTGGTGGGAACGGGAATTAGGCATAGGAAGGAACAAAAATTCCGTCGTTGAGAAAGAATGTGAATAGATTATGGAAAGGTGCTGTATCTCTTGAAGGATTTATTTTTTCGGTGACAATACCAAAAATAGAAATCATCAGGCCATCTCCAACACAGGCCAGAAGCTGATATAGTATCATACGTCGCTCGACTTCAAGGTACAAGAGCTCTGGAATTACAACCGAGTGTTTAGCACATCACAAATCGTTCTGTTGCAATCTCTAGGCCTTCCATCACACGAGAAGTTGTAGTACGCAAACAATAATCGTTCTTCCGGACATGTCTTCTGCCCCAAACAGAGGAAATTCCTCAAAGGGTGTCAGAAAGTCAGACTCTATCAGTTTTCTCACATTTCCATCGAACGTCTGCGTGGTATTCGTGAAATGGACACTCGTGGACTTGCGGGGTTCACAGGTGATTACGTAAAGCTGATTTCGGGTGTTTGTAGGTGATTACATAAAGCTAATTTCGGGTGTTTGAAGGAAGCCCATTGAACTTGGCAGTGGTTTGCAGTATAAATTGTCTACTATGAACGGATTGTATTTTTGCAATGCTTTCTTCATTTGCCAGAAACGTCGAGCCGAGTATCAATGAGATTTGATAGTGCCAACGAGAGTAAGCCGAAGATTAAAACAACGATTTTTTGTCTCAGAGTACGTGAAAATTGTGTTGAAGTTGTACAGTTATCTTGAGTCATCGCTATTAGGCCGTTGCTGTGAGGCGATACTACTGATAACGTCGGGCGGGTACTGATGAAATTGTGTACTTGGCGTATGTTCTATGAAGGAGACAGCCTGGGTGGTATAGAAGACAACCCCCATAAGTCAAACAGACGTAGTATGCAAAGCCTCGGTTGACGTTTGCTGTGAAGAAAAACTTTTCTAAGGCACTCCTTTGTGATATTACCAAACTTATTTTTCAAGCTGCTGTTAATTAGGTAATGGCGATGAATCAATTCCAAAGTGGTTCCGTGATTTCGTGAGAAAAATATACTGGCTCGTTATACTGGTATTATGCCGAATCGGAGATGGTACTCAAGTTCGCGTCGTCGCGACGAAGGATAGTATCAATGCTATGCGTGAGTGCGAGTACTTTTATTGTCGTATTCACCGCATCGCCCTTATTCTGGCTTGACTGTTCCTGGTATTGTTGGTGGTGGTACAACGGGGTTCGACGGCTGTGATAAAAAACTTGAATTGTAAACACTCCTCGCGAAACGGTCTCGGAGCACATTATGTCGGTGCGGACGATGAGCTTCTTGTGTTGTGTTGATGCTGTCGATCGGTGTGTCTTGCTTACAGGGTGCGCCATAAATATGGCAACAACTTTTCGGACCTCCGTTATTTTCTTGTTTGAAGGGTTTCTCCAAATCTGCACCATCCCTTATGTTTATGTTATGCCTCAGCCCACCTATCTACTTTGGTGCTCTCCATTCGTCACATTTCGAAAAACTGTATAGCCTCGCAGGCATCCACCAGCCGTTCCGTCTTTGCGCGCATTTAGTGAGCCCTTTTCTAGAATCGCTCCTCGTTTCAACATCTCCCACATTGACAGATGCAGTTCAATGACAAACCTCAAAACGGTCGTTTTGTCTCACATACTATCCCTTTTCGGAATTAGTTTGCTTGGGAAGGAGTACGCTGTGGAACTTGCAGAAACACAAGAAAAATGGCTGCTGATTTGTTTGTTTGTTCTACTCCGATGAGGGTAGTTTACCCCTAGTAAATACAATTGTATCCAAAAAAGATTCGAAAGCGTAAAGCTTTTTGAAGGGAAGAAGTTGAAGCGTAGCAAATGCTGTGCGCTACTTGCGCGGGGCCCACGCTTCAACACACTTTTTTTCTGACTAGAGGGTGTTCAGCATGGAAGAAATGTTGAGTTCCGTATAATTCACACTATGAGTGTTGAATCCGCTGAGAACAGGCAGATCGCCTCTCATAGCCATTTTCCCTCTTCATGATGGTTTGGCTAGAATCTCTACCATCACAGCGATATGACAAAATTTAGTCGAGAAAAGTACAAAGCTTAATCCGGACTTCGTCAAGGAGGGTTCTTCTGGAAGGATGCAGCTGAGGGTCAGAGATTTTTAGGGGTACGATTTGAAAACTGCGGCGCACTTGCTCACGAAGGAAAGATCGAAACTGGTGCTGAGGAAATCTTCGCAATTTTATGCCAGCTTGCAATCCTCCTACGGATTTCCAGGACCACAGTGTGATGGGTCGCTGGATATAGTCCATAGCGGAGAGGAAAGACTGCGCTTCAAAACGCACCACTGTTGCTGCTCCTGAGGAAACATCGGAAAAAGCTCGGGCTGAAGTTTCTCAAGTATCTCTGCGTGCCATTGTCGATGAGTGCCGAAGCTTCTCCAGCTATAATTAGTACAGAAGACGGGTATATAAGATGAGAGGGTTGTTTGTTTTGTAGATGCGGTGCATAGTAAATAACTCACAAGAATTGAACATGTATCAATATGAACTGCGGTTTCTGGGGACCCATTTTTTTGGTCACCATATTCATGGCGCACCCTGTAGTTCCATCACTGAACAACGAATTAGATGAAACCAGATGTAACCACTGCGAATGACGAGTTTCCGCTAGATAATCAGCCGAAGTTCACAGGTTGGAATCAATAAGTGACGACTCTTCACAAAATGGTCTCCTTAGACTAGTCCTCACTCGAATTTCTTACGGCCTTGCAAAAAAAACGTCTCTCGATATTCTCCTGCGATTCACTTCAAACGCGACATACTCGGCCTTAAGTGCACTCATACATTTCGAAAATTGTCAACCATCATTAGCTACCATGAACACATGATAAAGGTTTTTGTTCGTCTGCCTCAACTTTCAGCGTTCTGAAGGCTGTTCACGTCGACAAGTCCAGCACATACTATTGCTTCAATCCCGCAGTGATTGCTCCCACGTAGCGTGCGGAAGAATCCTGTAAAATATTTGCAATTATACCTATAAGTTAGGACTGTTGAAAATTTGAAATATTGATTTGGTTCCATGTATTTGGCCCATACTGCGAGCAGAAAATGAGCGCTGTACAGCTTGACTCATGTGCTCCACAACGGAGCAGGAGCAATCAGAAACAAACGGAAATAGGAAAAATCCCGAATTTCCAAGCTTATTTGCCTCAGAGAGCTCACCTTTCTCACCCCAGTCATCATGCCACGAGTTAGCGATGAGCCAGTAGTCTGTACCATTTTCCTTTCCCCATCCGATCATTTTCACTGCATGGTAGCCTTGAAGCTGACCAGCGGTGTGCTGTAAGAGAACGCTGATGAAGAATAGTCTTTCTGCAGAATGGCGGACGTGCATTCGCTTCATTTCCAAATATTATAATCTCTTGCGATATCGGACTTTTACCTTATAGATTCCTGATTTGTAGTGTCTGAAATCCTCATAAACTTTAAAAGAGGCAACAACCGGCCCATTCTCCATAATATCCCTTTGTATAGCTTCAATCGATTTCGGTAGCATATAAACGTCCTTGCCTGAAAACTCTAGCTATTCAGTACTTGTAGTGTTTTGTTCGAGTCTGTATGACGAAGTTGATGCAACTGTTGGCTGAAGGCTACAACTTCATTTTACATTTAATCGAATTATTAAGTAGCCGACAGAAGCGGAATTGTTTCCATCTGTGAACAATACAAGCTGGATTGAACTTGATGATGAGAACTAGATCATGTTCTGAGGGCGGTTATGTAAGAGGTCCACCGCCTACCATATAGCTTGTCCAACCTGTATGGTTTCCTGAAACCAGGTTGGCATCTCCTTTTGCAGGCTGGGGTTTTCGCCTTTTCAGGACATTCTCCATAGTAGGTATCGTTTCCGTGGTGTCCACATGGATGAAGCGGATAAGGACGACAGCAACCCTGTCGACAAAAAACATTTATATATACCTTTCCACCACTTGGATCACAATAAGCATCACACCTTACTATGATAATGTCCTCCGGAGACAATTCCATCTTCAACAAAGTACTCCCAAGCTTTGTAGGCCCAGCCTCCATTACATCTAAATCAGCATGAATCATTTACAGATTATAAAGGCTCCACGTTCAATATCATGCTTTCATGAAGTCGTAATCTTTTATAAACTAGTACCCGCTGCCGCACTGTGTTGTACAGCATGTCACAATGTCACTAGCAGAGATATATACCTAAAATTAGCTCTATTCAGTCAAAGACGATTTCCAATTTCACAGGTTGAGATGTACCTGTTTTTCTCCTTTAGTTGCTATGCAGATACGGTCCGAAATTGCTGATGCCGTTGAGACAGCCCAGCATGAGCCTAAAAAACGTCACCATGTTGCAATTCTTGTAGTCTCAGGTCTTATTCGGCATCTAAACTTGAGCTTCTCACCGCAGTTTGCTTGATCACGGATTGTAAATAGCGAGGAACAGTTGGGCCAGATAGTTCGAAGATCGTAGCTGTAAATCCTCGTTGACACTATTATTGGGATAGAAATGTCGGGTAAGAAGTATATTTGTTCTTACTGTTCCCCAGATTATATGAGATTTATCGATTCTGCTTTTCCTAAAAGGTTATCCACCGCTTCCATATCTGTATCTACATTCTATAGCTCCTTGATAGTAGCACCTTACAGTATACTTATTCTGGGAAATGAAAATGTTGTTACAGTGTTGACACTCAAAGTGTGTTCTGGTAGACAAGTACGCAATTCTCGCGGTCTAATCGTTCGAATGAGGCTGTTGTGAGAAGGACTGTAGGTCGAGCATCTTGTAATATTTACATAAAAAAATAGTAGTTTGCCAAGTATGTCTATTGGAGTGAGTGGGTAAGTGCGCGTTTGACTTAGAATTTTTAATTCCTTCCTCAAAATCTCCTCGAAAAAAAACAAAGATGAAAGTCTGCTCTGGTGATTTGTTGAGGAGGGATACCGTTGTTGTCATTGGTCGACATTGGCTCTGGGCATACTCTTTTCGAAAATGTTTTGCTCGGAAATGTTGCATCCTCAGGATTGGGAATGAGAATGTTCTTGGTTAACCAGGTATTCCGACTCTGTAGCGGAAAGGAGAAAGTGCAGCTCAATTCTGCGGCTCTGAATCGTGAGCACCCATTTCCAGACGTCCCATTGAATATAAATATTTGCTCAAACCGGTAGCATCTCGCCCCAGAGTAGTCCATTGGAAACTTAATCAAGGGACCCAATGTTCACGCCCCTTTCGCTCCGAGCTCTCACGAAAGCCTTACTACAGCGGCCGTTTTGCTGTTCGTTTTGTTCTGAGAGATTTAATCAGTAACAGCCTCAACCCACCACGAATCGCATAAACCACACTATCCTAGATCCCTGGCATAAGCAACAACGCACCTGATCTTCGATCGTTGGCGGAACTCAGAACTCTGAATGCCCTTCTGCACCTGCGTGTATCGGACACTCCGAGCACTATCCTTCCCCCAGGCGTCGAACAAAGCTGGCTGCATGCTCATCCTGCTTATTGTTAGACCCCAAATCTCTAGGGCGCAAACTAAGACGGGGAGTATCACAATGTCTAGACGCTTGCGACGCTGCATATTTTCTTTTGCTAAGCTCCTGAACCAGTCTGTCAGTAAACTGACTTTTCACTGAGACTGTGATAGAAGTATGAGGCAACAATCTCATTGTCTGAATGCCATCTTCGTTAGGTTTGGCCACAAGCCGATCTTTGACGACACTCGAGAAATTTAAAGGAGAATATGCCGAAACAAAAGAAAATCAGATTGGAAGGACTCCTGCGAAGAATTCCGAATCATTGCAATTACAGAACAATTTAACGATATGCTCTCGTTTGCCATCCTCGCAACACTAGACACTCGGCTCGCAAAAATGATGTGAGAATATTCTGTTGTCCTTGCTACAGGATTAGGCCCCCTCTCAGATGCCCCACCCACTTCGCTGGTGCCTTTTTCGCCAACGTATCCATATGAAAAACTTAATTGGCTTGGATGGCATCCGTGAGGCTGAAGTGCATAGAAGAAAAACAGCGAATGATTCAGATAGCAAAAGCTGAACCCGGAACTACCCAGATTTAGTAGCAAAACATGCAAAATATCAAGCAACGTAGATGGCTCTGATAACGACTCACCCATCGACATAAGGTATCCTAGGAATGCACCCAGAGTTCAGCGCATGGTTGAGCGCTGAAATATACAAAACAAGAGAACACATCGCTCAAAATTCCAAGGATGACGCCCCCATTCTTCAAAGAATGGGAAGATTTTCGAGGATATGTCCAGTGCTTGATATTATAAACACAGAAATGCGACGCTTATTGTGATGAAGAGAACGGTTCTCCTCGGAGGAAGCTTAATACGGTGAGCGGCAAATATGCTCAGAGGGATAAGCGTGTTCTCGCGAAACTACATATGTATAAGGACAAGCTAGAGGAAAGATATGATAACTCGAGCAATTCTCACGCTAGCGTCACCTTTGCGACCAGCCAGTCAAGGTCCGCATACATGTGAAGAGGAACTAGGCGACGGCTTTGGTACGTGGAGAAGATGTAAGCTAGGGTTACAACATCTCAGTCAACAACAACACCAAAGACTCAATAGGGATAAACCGATCCTTGAATGTTACCCCGACGTATTGTATGAATGGTTGAATGTTGTGTGAGAATTTGAGAAAAACTTAAAACTGGGCAATTAGAATCGGAATCCGGAGAAGTGAGTGTGTGGTTATTCGATGGATTGAGAGGTCTCAAGCACATTTCACTAAGGGTGGCATTAGGCTGTTTTTCTTTTTGATAGTACATGACATTTGAATGTCTTCTATCGATGCTTATCATTAAAATGTTGTCGAAGTATTGAAGTGCTGTCATGACCGAGATTGTGAGAAAAAAAANAAAAAAAACAGACTCCTCATAGTTTTGCTTACGTAAACTGTAACTCACGGAACATTTTTGGACACTTTGACATCTGCCTGATACCTACAAGGTCTATGGTATAGGCCTATGCGTCAGCATACCCTAGCTTCGTGCTATTGAAGGGGATAATTTGGTAAGGCGAATTCCCAGAGGACTTGAATTAGGGTATACCTGACTCTTCTTCCGATCTGTAGTTAAACCAGCTGTCAAGAAAAAATAGAACTACAGTAAATAATAAAGATGGTGTATTGGCAAGTGGTGCGCTATCGCACATGTATGCTCCCCAGTTTGAAACCCTGATCTATACCGCCCAGTCCAACCGGAACTTACATCTTTCTGAGGTTGCTTACTTGGTACCAGACCCGCCTGGTAGGGTGAAAGCACTGACTTATATATCGGCTGGCCACTGCAAGTCTTTGTATAGGCCACATACGCTTTCAATACGCCACTACGATTCTGAGTTGGAGTCGAGTGCGGAGCGCATTTCCTAGACGGAATTGATTGACGCCAAGACATTCTATCCTTTAAGTAATAAATACATAAGTTGAAATACCAATTTAAAAGTTGATTAATATGAATACGGAGAATCAAAATATCTAATTTCATCTAAATAAAGCGGATAAGTAACCAGATCCGGAGTTTGTTCATCACTTACTGCTCGTGATGCTTATCCCATGTTTGACAGCAAGTGTTTGCGAAGCAGATACAAATAATCACAAAACAGGTGGCTTACTTCTCCGGTATATCGTTTCCTGGGTCGGGATCGTCTTTGAGGACAGGGTTTGAAACCTGATTCTCGAATTTTATATCCATCAATTTGAGCTCAAAACCAGGCGTCGGATCAGAATTGACCTAAGATCGAAACAATTGTTCGAACCGCATCTTCAATGTCAAGAGGTTACCTCAAAGAGGTTTTGATTTATTCTGAGGTATTCGACGAGCGCTTCACCACTTAGCATTTGTGCCTCCATTGGAATTTCTTGGACAGCTGTAAGATGGTGACGCTTAGATATATTTTCCAAGTGAAATGCTTCTGGAAGAAAATGTGACTACAAACCATCTTCATCTGGTCCGGATGCTCTGCACACAAAGAAACAAAACACAAACCATAAATATTTCTGAAACATACTGTCGTATTTTTCTATACACGTTGTGTATGAAAATTCTCCCAAGGAATCAGGTTGAAAAGGCAGCTTACCATTGTTCGGAGCCACTATGAAGATGTCAGCTTCTGCTTATGTTCGTTACAAACAAGTCACAAGACAATTTTTTTTTGGTAATGATAAGGAGAGTGCGAGAATGATCTGCCTCTGAAGTGCCTTAGAGGCTCAGCCTAATAAACTCTGTGGTTCGAGAGTATTTTCCATTTCACTTTTTAGTTCATTTCACCCGCTGGCTAGTGCTTCAAAGTCAAAGGTTACTTTATTTTGGGTTATTCAGCTTAATCGATCAATGAAAGTTTCGGTTTGGAATAATGCAAAAATGGTAAAGAAAACAGGAAAATCGGCATACTTATAGAAATATATGGGGTCCAACGAAGTAGCAAAATTAGGGGTCAGACGAATATTCGATAATAGAGGTTGCACGAAAGGGATATTTGCTCAAATCTGGCTATAGTAAGCACCCTGCGTGCAACTTGTGCGTCCCAGTGCGAATGGTTCAACCTCTACAGCCTCTACAACACTGTGAGAGTACTCATTCGCATTTGGATGTGTACGTCGATAAGATGGTTTTGGGGCCCTTATTACACCCTATCCAGGCCGCTTTTGCAACCGACGGTGTCCCTTGTTTTATCCTCAGGAGGCACACGTTCATCTTATATTATGCCTTCCAATATGTTTTACCTCAGATAAACTGTAAATCCCATACGTTTCTCTCAATGCGGAGCATTCAAAATCAATGCAAGCGCCACCGATTCTGGATAGGCAGCACATGAAGCAGCAGAAAGTCAGTCGAATAAATAGTCCAACTGGCTTACTCATGAAATCAAAACTCGGAAAAGGAAAAACACTCGATTTTTTAGGAAACTTTTTCAGGATAAGACAATGGTATCTCTTCTGAGGACATTCAAACGATTATGACGACTTCGATTACATGGACGAATGAGGTTTCTGTGGAGCTTCTGTTTTAACCTCTTACCCAGAGTTTCTGAGCCTGCTGCGTTCAAGATAATTTTCTTTTGCCCTTTACGTGTGTAATAAAATGCTGTGGATCCCGGTTTGATAAGATGATGGGCTCTTGAGAGTTGCCAAACAAGTGGGCTACTATTACTTGAACTAAACTTGCTCCGTAATGGTAAGCGAAAGTTGCGAGTCTACCATCAGGCTCTATAGCTATCAGTGGCTGTCTCAAAAAAGCACACAGGGAGGTCCATAATCTTAGCCAGATTGCATGGGGGTGGAAGTGGGAAGGAGTCGATCGGATTGATCATGAACAACATGTTGTTCAATACGCACAAATAAGGCTAGGGAAACGACTCATAAATAACCAAATTTAGGCGATGGTAGAACCAAGGTAGTAGTGCGGCCCAATGTCTTTTTTCGCCTTTTCCCGTCTGTATTTTAGGAGAAACTCAACTTTTCAGCACGTACTACGTGCAACTTTGACATTGATCCGTATATCAAAAACCACGTTTGCTCGATCTGTGAGAATATGCTCATTGATGGGTCTCCTTCTATCAATTTAGCTTTCTATCGTTCTATTTTGTTGTGTTGTACGCGTCACTTCTCAGTTCTCTGTGAACTCCTTCCCTTTCAAAGGCTTCCAGAATCTGGCATAGTATTAAGTAGTTTTGGGGACGGAAATTCTGAATACTTTGAAGCATTTGTCAGACTGTTATAGAAACTTCCGTTTCATTTTGGTTTATTCGTTTTCTAACGCTCTGATTTGATGATGATTTCGGACGAAGGGAAGTAGGTGCTGGTTCCACGAATTTTTTTTAAAGTAACATTCTTTACCTTTATAGGTAACACCTTTTACTTTGTTCTTTAGCACGGTTTTCAAGAGAAGAACTTAGATAGTTCTGAGAACTTGAATATTCATCTGTTTTGGCTACCTTGCATGTGTTACAACAACGTGCACCAGTCATTATACTCACCATTTAATAATGAGTCAAAGTGATATGAACCCAACTGGCGCGCTATCGCTCACATGATCCGAAGATGGAGTCCAGGATTGATACTCACCCAGGCCGGAGAGCTTTTCATCCTTCAAGATCTGTCATTTGATGCTAAACTGGTATGGGAGCGTTCTTGTACCCGAACCGCGTTCCGCGATTGTCGCTGTCGCGTGCTCTGTAGGGGATTTTGTAAATATCCAGTGGAAGTTTATAGCAACTGCTGCGATGTCACTGACACTTATTCTAGGAATTCGGGAATAAGGACTTGGGTACGGGCTTATTCCCCCTTCCCCATTCATGCCGTCATTACTACACTGACTGGAAAGCGCATGAGTGGGTGCACCTCAAAAAATACTCAATCAATCATTACCCAGAAACTTTTTCTCTCATCATTTGGACAGTTCAGTCCAAGTTAGCACTCCCTAGATGCACGTAGGTGTGTATGTAAGTGTACGAGTAAGTGTGTGGGCATGGGTATGTGTCTCTGTGTGTTGTATGTGTATATGTGTGTAAGTGTGTGTGTGAATGTGCGTACGAGTGTGTGTAAGAGTATGGGTAAGTGTACACACACATACTTACACACACTCACACTAACACACACACACGCAAACGCTTACACACTCAAACGCGCACACATACACATCACACACCCACACACCCACTTACACACACACTTTCACACAGATAATCACGCTTTCACACAAACACACACTTACGCATGAACACCTGAACTCATACTTACACACACATACACATACGCACATTTACACGCACATGGGAGTCATGAACTTGGATGGACCTGTGAGTCACGTTTTAGACAGTTTCACCACGATATGGATCACGTTATCTTCAATCGAAAGTCCTCCTACGTGTGCTCTTGAACCAGAGTACATCGCGAGATCGGACCATTCTATTCTCCTCGCTGGAATTCGTCGTTCGATGCCTGTAGCGAGAACTGAGATGTTTAAGAGACGAAGCCCTAACAAGAAAGTCGTTCAGGGCGTGGGACGCTTTTTGAAGATGGTTTTTTGCATGGTACAGGGGCATGAGCACTGAGTATATAACTATGGTCCATTTCCGCTAAATGGCCTAAATGGAGTGAAAATGATTTTGTCAGAAAATGCATTAAGTGTCGTTTGTTTCATTCATGGCGTCGACTGTCTGCACAGTAGAAGGAGCCAGTGGAGGCGACATTGAAAATAACGTGAACGGTAGCCAAAAAAGGATCCACATGTTGAAAAGTGCGGGGAATTTTCATATAGGCTGTCCATGGTTGACCGGCTAGCAGCGACGGAAGGTGTGGTG